AGAATGAGGTAAACATGATTAAATAGGAGAATGTTGTAATGACTGGATCTAAATGTTGACTTTGGCAATATGTCTGCTTCTGAAAGGTCAGTGGTGTTATGGGTTACCTTAGGCCAACACATTATATCTTATATTGTTTGTATATAACACTTTAGTTGCTTCAAAATCATTTTCAGAGGATAAAGATTGTAATTCTGTATTTTTTACAGTACAGTAAAACCTGTATTTAGTGAATACCTATAGAGCCACAAAACATATGTTCACTTCAAAAGGCGATCATTTCAGAGTGGCAATTTTATACAGAAGTCAGTGGAGTATATGCCAAAAGGGGTATTCGAGAGAGGTGTTCACTATGTTTTACTCTATATGATGAGATGTTATTAAATGTATTACATATCCGACCAAGATACATTTTAGTAGAAGATCATGATGTGGTTACTAAATACTGAATTGTGGCGTCATAGATAAAGCCTTATTTAATTAATAAATCTCTCTGACGACAAACATTCATAAGAGAGAAAATAACTAGGGGTAAGCATGACCATGGACTTTCAATAGCAAATAACATTTTCTCGAGTTGTTTCAAAATCAAAGTTTTGCAATGTGTTAAAATATTCATTTGTAAATACCTTAAGTTCATTTTGCCTGTTTCTTCTAATTATTTCAGAGAAATCCCTGAAAACTAAGTTTTATTATATACATGTAGTCTAAAATGTTAGGTGTGTGGTGTCATTTGTGATATTCAGCGTGGCTCAGAATGTGTAAAAACATAATGTAAATACTAAGTAGTCTCTTGAGGATAATCTATCATGAATGAAGTATCACATTTTAAGACCATGTTTTTATGCTGTGTTTATATGTGTTTTACAGTCACTTCAAGTTAGCATTAGCTCAACTTCAAAGCTTGTTAGTGTAATAAAGTTCAATGAAGAAGAACTGTGGCATTTAACATATTAGGCTATATACATAATATTGACTCCATCTTTAGTGCTTACATAATTAGGTCAACAAATTCAATTTTCTATGTAACTAGGATTCTGGTTTTACAGTTCCTTTTCATGGCTGCTTTGATAAATGCTCATATGAAGAAGAACTACACAGTTTAGTGTGAAATATTGCTCAGAATTTGATATTTTTAAAAATTATATTAATGTTACTTCTTGGTACAATATTTGATCTTTGGTCATTAGTCCATATTCCTTGATATTTATTAATGGGTTGCCTATTCAAGATGGGGCACTTATTCATATACATATATTCATATGTACATATGGTTTCACCAATGGCCATCGTGTCGTTACTCAAGTAATCCATATATTAAGAATCAATAAAATAGCTAATAGTAAGTGAGTAATCTGTTATTGGGACTGGCCACAATTATTGTTCAATAAATTGTCTGATCTGTGGTGATGTTTGAAATATGACACACCCATTCAATATTAATTTGTCTTATTTAAGACTAAGGGAGCATCCCAAATATTAATAGTGCATTATAAACTAGGTAGGTACAAGGCCAGTGCCAAAATGTGAATAAGTTTAAGCATTTTGGGTTATTTATAAGGCTGCCATTGGTGACCATATTTATTAGTGTGTCGATGTCGTTTTACATGTGTAATTAAGAATAGTATGAGAAAATGAGAATATTGTGTCAAATCATTTAGATTATTAATGATATCAGGGTTCGATATTAGTGGTAACAAGGAGCAAATTTGCTACCTGTTTTCACATTTTGCTCCAAAAACTTCGTGGCTGGGAGCAAATGCTTGCTACCTCAAATTTAAGCAATGAATCTCATGTATTTCAACCCTTCTATCGCATAGAATCAATGGAACTTACCACTCCCGATATTTTTTCATTTTTCATCGCGATAACGATAGCGATATACAACCTCAACGCTGATTGGTTGATACAGATCCCAAAATGAAACAAAACAAGACAACATCACTGATTGGACTTTACTCGCTTTAGCGAAACAGAATATCTTGCTGAAAAAATGTCACCTGCACGATAACATGTTTCATCGACGAATACGCTATAATTTGTTTCCCCCCCAATTGATTATACTACCTTTATTAGGATTAGATGATTCATTCTCCTGTTTTCAATGAAAACATGCGGATTTCTGTCTGAAAAAAACACAAATTGTTCTCAGACGACTCTTGAACGTAAAAAATGGTCGTTTCATTCAGTGCAAAAAGGCGAGAAATAACCTGGGATTCGTTATAACACATGAGTAGAATTTGAGGAGCAATTTGCCACCTGATAATGTTTTCTTGGAGCATTTTTGTTGCTACCTGAATATGGCAATTTGCTCCTTGTTTTGGGAGAAGGTAGCAAATCCTTGCTACTGGCAAAAAAGGTTAAGGTCAGACCCTGGATATAAGTTTATAGTTTACTTTTTTGAATAACTTCTGACTAATTTGCAGAATTTCAAGGTGGAGTTATTGTTCCATGCCCTTAAAAGGAGTTTATAATCTGAAAAGGATGGCAGAAACATGGTGGGGCACTTTTAGGTTCTAGTATTATAAAATCGGTCCAGTGGTCTTTTGCTACAATAGAAGTAGTTACAGCGCTTGAGCAGACCCACTGTGTGCGTGTGCGATGCCGATGCTGATGCCGGAAGTCAGCCATTTTGAATCCCGTCTGGGCAAGTTGATGACATCATAGCGGAAGTTCAGCCATTTTAACTTTGTCTGGGCAGGTTGATGACATCATCGCAGGAAACGGAAGTTTAGCCATTTTGGATTTAGTCTGGGCAAGTTCATGACATCATAGCGGAAGCTCAACCATTTTAACTTGGTCTGGGCAAGATTATAACATAATAGCGGAAGTTCATCTATTTTAACTTTGCCTGGGCAAGTGGATGACATCATCATAGCTGGAAACGTGAAAGTAGCCATATTGATGACCTCACGCAGTCTTGTCTGAGCAAGACGATCGGGCAACCCTAAGTTTCGAGTCCAGGCGGATTAACCCTAACCCTAATCATGTACTATAACAAGTTGTCAATAACACCAAACTTGAAATTACAATTCATTATTTATTCAACCAGCCAGTTTATCAATCAAGAATAAATATATTTTGCATATAGTATGATCTCCATAAATTGATAAAGAAGAATGTCCAGACAAGTTGTTAGAAAGATCTGCACAGTCCATCAATCAGCTGATTGTCCGAACTTGCCAACTTTAGAATCAAAACAGGAATATGCGCACGCACTGTTTCATTGACACCAATAAAATGTACATAGAACTCTCCGCCACCACCACCACAGCCACCACCACCACAGCCACCACCACCACTATAAAACCAGATTCAATTATAACAAGTGATCATTTGACTTCAGACGTTGGTGGAGTCACTTGTATGTTTGACGATTAGGTTTGAACAAAGTGAATTAAAGTGTACATTGTATAAAAGGGGAGAACTAGGCTATAAAGATGAAACTAGTTCCCATAGACACAAGCCAAGATAAATGGTTAGCCTTCATGGAAGGAAAAAATAATCAAGTAGGAGCAGGTAGAAGATTCATAGTTGTTCCAGATGTAGCAATTCAAAATGGCAGAGGAGAAAATATTACTCTCGTGTCTCCCAGCCAGGCCACTGTTGAACGAGCAAAATCTGATGCATACAATTATCAAAGAGATAATGCTCAGAAGGGACGAGGACTGAAGAGAGCTTCAGATTCTACTGAAGTAAAGAAACCAAAACTAAAAAGGTGTGGCTGCCATAACAAAAATGATATAATGGACTGCGTCAACAAATAAAAATAATCCAGTGGCTATTCCAGTTACATCACCACCACCACCACCACCACCACCACCGCCACCACTTCCACCATCGCCACCACCGCAATATATTTATATATACGTTGTGTTTAATTAGAGAAGTCAGTTCATAACAAGACATTGTACGATAAACATCATGTACAAGTGCTCAGAATGTCCAAAACGATTTTCGAGGAAAGATAGTAATAAACGCCATATGAGGACTGCTCATGGTGTACCTGGTTCGGTCAGCGCTATGATGTCAGATGGAGAGCGTAAACTTGTCCTTAAACACCCCTATACGATGGTTTTAGCAGGTCCGTCTGGATGTGGCAAGACAACATATGTCAAAAACATTTTGTTGAGGATAAATGACAACATGACGCCGCCACCAGATAGGATAATGTGGGTTTATTCAGAATGGCAACCCATGTATGATGAGCTGTCAGATAAACTACCAGGAGTCGAATTCATCAAAGGTGTTCCCAACAATTTAGAGAAATTATTTGATCCTTCGATTGTTAATCTACTTATCTTAGATGATGTTATGGGGAGCATCACTAGAGATCCTAAAGTGGCTGATTTATTCACCAAAGGTAGCCATCATCGTTCACTGTCTGTCATTGCACTATTGCAAAATTTATATCATCATGGTAAAGAAACGAGGACAATGACATTAAACTGTCACTACATTGTCATGTTTAAGAATCCACGGGACAGGGTCCAACTGATGTCACTCTCTCGCCAGATGTACCCTAAACGTCCAAATACACTTCTAAATAAATTCGAGCAAATGAAGGAAGAACCATTTTCATCCCTGTTAATAGATCTAAAACAGGATACGACTGAAAAGGACAGACTTAATGGAAAACTTACCTTTGATGAGAAAGAGGAGCAAATGAATGATACAAATAACTCACTTTATGGGGGAAATTATGTTGTTCAGACTGGGGGTGCCAAGGCAAAATATTCCAGACCACCTGGACAACCAGTATATCCAAGAAATCGTGATACTCCTGTTGTGTCCTCGAAGCACCAAGGATCGAAGACTAGAGACTTGTTTCTTCCTCAAAGTGGAGCTGGTGACAAAAATGGTGGTGGTGTATCTGATAATGCTATGTCGAGTGATGACAATGATGGTGGTGTTGTGACTAGTAAAACTATTGGCGATGTAAATGACATTGATATGTCTAGTGATGATAGTGATGACGCAGAATCTAGCTTAACTGTCAAGAAGTCTAATGGTAAAGAACTTTGGCATAAATTGATCGTTTCTATTCTTAATAATGAGGAAGCAGAGTACCAAGATGAAGATAAAGTGAACAACTATTTGGCTGATGGATATACTAAATCTGAGGCATTAACGCTTTTATATAATCAGTTTATTTCACGTGTCAGCAAACGATTTAGAAAGGAAGTTGCTGATTTAATGCTGTATGTCCATAGGCTATTGCAAGATGATACATATAAGAAATTGATGCGCACTGCACAAGATCTTCATTATCAAGGAGGTTATTCCAGAGAAGAATCCATCACTGCAGCAGTGTCTTTGAGGAAACATTTGTTGAATAAATTTTTCAAAAATGCTAGTGAAATGAACTTTAATGAGCCTACCTCTGATGATTCAGATGCTAGTGCCAGTGGAAGTGAGGACTGTAATTGTAATGAAAATGACTGTCTGTAAATAGATATAGATACACATATTGTGATTAGTTAAAAATTATAAAGTATTGTATATACTGTATATATAATTTGATTGACTTTGCAACAATAAATAAGATTAAAACAAAATGTGTCCTGCCTTGATGATTAATACCTAGATGAAGTCCTAACCTTGACATCCCGTTACACTAATGTAGAGAAGTTTTACCTGATTACCAAAATCAATGAAGTAACTTACCAGAGCAACACAATCTGAAGGTTTGAAATATATCCTGTATTTAATTCCTATTTGTCAATCAAGGTATATTAATATCAATGATATATTTTATCAGTAATAATCATATACACATATTTTGTCATGAATTCTAGTGAAATCATGACTTGAACTTCGGAGTTTTATTCATTCGTCTACATCAGGTCTAAAACCAAGCGTTACTACAGTGCTTAAAATAAACTATTGCATATGTACATGTATATGTATGAAGGTTGCCAAGAAATCGATAAAGGTATATATAAACCAAACACACTTAAATTTGGAGTGAAATGACCTAGCTCAGGCAAGACTGTATGGTGTCAACAATATGGCTACTTTCACGTTTACTGCTATGATGTCATCCACTTGCCCAGGCAAAGTTAAAATAGATGAACTTCCGCTATGATGTTATAAACTTACCCAGGTCAAATGATCACTTGTTACAATTGAATGTGGTTTTATAGTGGTGGTGGTGGCTGTGGTGGTGGTGGCGGAGAGTTCTATGTACATTTTATTGGTGTCAATGAAACAGTGCGTGCGCATATTATTGTTTTGATTCTAAAGTTGGCAAGTTCGGACAATCAGCTGATTGATGGACTGTGCAGATCTTTCTAACAACTTGTCTGGACATTCTTCTTTATCAATTTATGGAGATCATACTATATGCAAAATATATTTATTCTTGATTGATAAACTGGCTGGTTGAATAAATAATGAATTGTAATTTCAAGTTTAGGGTTAGGGTTAATCCGCCTGAACTCGAAACTTAGGGTTGCCCGATCGTCTCGCTCAGGCAAGACTGTATGGTGTCAACAATATGGCTACTTTCACGTTTACTGCTATGATGTCATCCACTTGCCCAGGCAAAGTTAAAATAGATGAACTTCCGCTATGATGTTATAAACTTGCCCAGACCAAGTTAAAATGGTTGAGTTTCCGCTATGATGTCATGAACTTGCCCAGACTAAATCCAAAATGGCTAAACTTCCGTTTCCTGCGATGATGTCATCAACCTGCCCAGACAAAGTTAAAATGGCTGAACTTCCGCTATGATGTCATCAACTTGCCCAGACAGGATTCAAAATGGCCGACTTCCGGCATCAGCATCGGCATCGCACACGCACACAGTGGGTCTGCTCAAGCGCTGTAACTACTACTAATAGAGCAATCCAAGCAGAGTATATTAAATGCTTCAATTTGACATACAGGCTTAATAAAATTCTATGAATCTTTCCAACAATGGGTCAAATATAAGAGAGAATCCAATGGCCTCTGGTTTATAGATAAGAAAACATAATTAATGTTTTGAAATGGAACAAAGAGTGGACTTATCAAGGAAATAATAGAGAAACATGATGCAAATGATCTCTGATTATATAGAAATGCCATAAAATCAGTAATTGATCCATGTTTAAAGAGAAATAGAATGAATTGCTAATATCTGGGTTATGTTTTAAGCAATGGGGTCAACACAGGTGTGAGTCATTGTAAGAAGGAAGTTGGGCATTGAAATGAAATGAAGTTTGTTTGATTATTGGTATGGATTAGATTTTATACAATCATATAATAGAATTGAATACATGCAAGTTTTCAATAAACATTTATTTTAATTAGATTTCCTTGTGTATACAGATACAGTTAAACCTTTGGTCTCTCTAAAAAGTGTTCCATTTGGGAGGTGTTCCACTTATGAAGGGTCATTTATCATTGAGTCAGTTGGTCTTTGGACCTAACAGAGGTGTTCTACTTCTACACATTCCCATACATATATTTAATAATAATTATCTTATATATTCCCATTTAGTCGTGTCATCTTCTCCCATAATGTGTTGAATCATGTCATCTTATTTCTTCGTCTTTGCTGTATAGTCAAACAAAGATACAGTGAATAACTTAATACAAACCTACTCTCAAGTAATGTAATGTTTGATATATCAAAGAAAACATATTATCTTCTTGGCCCTTTCATTTGTCCCATTTGATTAATTGTCTACAGGTGACAGAGTACCATGGAATGAAGTGTCACAGATCATGTGACAGAGTACCATGGAATGAAGTGTCACAGATCATGTGACAGAGTACCATGGAATGAAGTGTCACAGATCATGTGACAGAGTACCATGGAATGAAGTGTCACAGATCATGTGACAGAGTACCATGGAATGAAGTGTCACAGATCATCGTTTAATAATACAACCTTCAGTAAAATAGAAAAAACTGAATAACTGACATGTACTTAAAGCACACTGTCACTTATGTAGAAATTCTCTACAATCTGAATTCTTAATCAAACGTGGTAGAAATTACGCTAAATAAGCTACTCTTAATGATTTGTTCATCAAAGGTATTTCAATGCTTGCTGAGTAAGGTCCATCACGTCCATATAGGTAGTTAATTATAATTCTTCAATTCAATGCCCGTGGTAAAATACACCGATAAAGTTCACTTTCCTTTCAGAAAAATCAGCTCAAGATTTCCCTATTAACATAGCAGGTTTCTGTGTACAAGTTTAAAGTGGCATATTGTAGCCATTGTCTGTGAATTCTATGATTCTTAATAGAATCCATGTGCTTAAGTTTCAAGTAGAAGTGAAAATGTATTTACTATTCATTTCATAGACAAACTGGCTTCTATTTCTTCTATTGAGGAACATGGTTTCAATACAATATGTATTTATAATGCAAGCACTTACTTGAGCTTGTCAATATATTTATTACACTTTTAGAGTTTATTTTGCATCTTTTAAAGAGCTTCATCAAATGCTTGACTTTAGGATCAAGGTATCAATATATTGGCTGAACTCAATTTACTTTATTTTTTATGGATTGAAAATCTAACATATCATGAATTTCATTTTGCATCTTAATAGAGGAGAACTTCATCTCCTAGACTATCTAAGCTAAGGGGAAGCTATAACACATCTTTAGAGTCATGCTATGAATTCTGATGAATGAGTGGATTTGTTTGTATTTGGTTATATGTTACTTTGCTTTGTATTTGATTGTTTGTTTTATATTTGTGTGTTTGTTTAGTTTATTAAAATTATGTAATTATTGTTTTAAGATTGAAAATTCAAATACTGGGAGGCAGTTTTCAAAAATATGAAAATAAATCATAATACCACATACAAATACTGTAGATGCATAAAGAATGTTGTAAACTCAAAACCATTGTGTTTAATACGCCACATCAAGTTGAATGAGGAATGGTTTGCAAATGTCAACATTTGAAGAACAACATGAAATTTTGGGGGAAAGTAGGTAAATCAAGATTTTTTAGTGAGTGTTGATTTTTATGTGAATTGACAAATCAACATTTTTAAATTCTAGAGGGTGGGAGGGGGTTTAAGCATACAATTTACTTTTAGCATGAGACACTATCCCCCAACTTGTAAGCAAGATATCATAAAGTTTTAGAGCCAATTCTCCTTTAACATATCAACCCATACCCCATCACAGGGTTCACTCCATTGATCTGTATGTGAATGTACACTGTTTTTACTGTCTAAGGCTATAATTCTTGAGTTCTAATTGATCACATTGTATTATTCTATTTTCAGATAAACCTAAGACTAATTCTAGTAACGGGAAAAACAAAAGAATTTTTGTTTGCAATAACAGATTCTGCGGCAGATATAACGCAGCATGTATACGACAACTGGCCAGAAGGTAGGTTGTTATTTGCTTGATATTTTACTCGTAAAGCTAGATTTAAAGTTGAAAAAATGGAGAATGGTTAAGCCATGAACACTTGCTCGTTTTAAAAGTATGGGCTTTGTAGTATTCAAAATCTCAATTAAGTGCTTCAGTACCAAGCACGATGATTAGTAAAGAGGTTGTATATTTTACTAATGGTTTTAATGGTACATTTGCCTCAACTGAAGCTCTAAAGAAAAGGTTGGTGTTTTAATGGTAGATTTGCCTCAACTGAAGGCTCTAAGAGAAGGTTGGTGTTTTAATGGTAAATTTGCCTCAGCTGAAGGCTCTAAGAGAAGGTTGGTGTTTTAATGGTAGATTTGCCTCAACTGAAGGCTCTAAGAGAAGGTTGGTGTTTAAATGGTAGATTTGCCTCAACTGAAGGCTCTAAGAGAAGGTTGGTGTTTTAAAGGTAGATTTGCCTCAACTGAAGGCTCTAAGAGAAGGTTGGTGTTTTAATGGTATATTTGCCTCAACTGAAGGCTCTAAGAGAAGGTTGGTGTTTTAATGGTAGATTTGCCTCAACTGAAGGCTCTAAGAGAAGGTTGGTGTTTTAATAGTAGATTTGCCTCAACTGAAGGCTCTAAGAGAAGGTTGGTGTTTTAATGGTAGATTTGCCTCAACTGAAGGCTCTAAGAGAAGGTTGGTGTTTTAATGGTAGATTTGCCTCAACTGAAGGCTCTAAGAGAAGGTTGGTGTTTTAATGGTAGATTCGCCTCAACTGAAAGCTCTAAGAGAAGGTTGGTGTTTTAAGGGGTAGATTTGCCACAACTGAAGGCTCTTAGAGATGGTTGGTGTTTTAATGGTAGATTTGCCTCAACCGAAGGTTCTAAGAGAAGGTTGGTGTTTTAATGGTAGATTTGCCTCAACTGAAGGCTCTAAGAGAAGGTTGGTGTTTTAATGGTAGATTTGCCTCAACTGAAGGCTCTAAGAGAAGGTTGGTGTTTTAATGGTAGATTTGCCTCAACTGAAGGCTCTAAGAGAAGGTTGGTGTTTTAAGG